ACGCTTTTACTAATACTAGTATAATTCTACAAGGCGAAGTCGCACAAACCTGCGGAACATATCATTTTGATAAGAACACTCTGCTCAACATAGCTCCATGCCTGTTAAAACGGACAACTATAAAAAATTTTAATTAAAATTTGAAATTTAGAAAAAGGTGGCTTTTAGAGCTTTTAGAAATCTTTTTGAAAAAAACCTTCAGATACATTAAATTTTTGGCTAATTGAGATGCTTTCTGAAAGATGACAATTTGGGATACTCAACTGTATGCTTACTTCAGTTTCGAATATTTCGAAAAATACCGAATTTCTGAGGAGGGGGAGGGTTTCTTAAAGTGCAAGTTTTAGATTGAAGATTGACGAGCTAAATATGTTTTGAGGCGATTATCGTACACACTGCAACAATAATCGCTAAGGGATAATACACATGTATGATAGATGTGAAGTAGCGGAAAGCATGGGGCCTTCCCGAAAGTTCCTTGTAAAGCCCCGGGCATTTGATAGCATCGTATACTTAAAATAGTGATATGGTATTTTCAAGCTAAATTGTATGAGAGATAGATACTCAACAGTTTAACGTGCTCCTTACAAGAAAGGTTAATATTTTTGAGAGTTTGTTTATCAAAAGTTCTTTGAGTTATATTAAGGTTCTTAGAAAACGAAATAAAATGTCAATATTTAGCACAGAAAAATTCGTAAAACACCACGAAGACATCGCATCTAAAACTGGCTTACATATTTTTAATATTCTTTGAATGAAAAATTATCTCTTCTAATACTTTGTTTATTTCCCATGACGGAATAACATCATCGATGTCTTTCATTGTGATCATTCAAGATGTCAAGATATTTCGAGAAAGTGTTAAAAAAGCTAGTAAAAAAAGTAAAATATTCTGATCAGGATATAGAATATGAATCTCAAAAATTATTTAAAAAAGCTTGTCAGCATTGCTTCTATGAAGCAAAAATGTGAAAACTTACTACTGAACTGTTGAACTATAACATAGAACATGTAATAATATATCGTAGTGTCTAAAAACATCAGTTGCACTGTCTGTTACTAGTCCGTTCAGTAGCTGTAAACACCAAATATATATTGAAATTTGGTCAATCACATTTCACCCCGAAAGTTTACAGCTACTGCAAACCACAAAAATCCTCGTATTTAAACTTTTTACTTCAAACTTCCTTTCCCTTCGGAAAACGAACAAGTCCCAGGAAGTTTTCACAAAAGGTGGCTGGCCGGAAAAAAGACTTAGTCACAAGGAAAAAAGTAACTGACGCAGTTTTTTACGCTCTTTTGTGTGGTATGGTCAAAAATCTCCGCTAACATCATCATTTTTTCGCTAACGAATTTTATCGGAATATATTTTGTTTCAAAACGGAATATAGAACATGGGACTCTACTGACAGGACATAATAGTTCATATATTAGCGAATTCATCAATAGTGAAATAAACCCTAGTGAAAGTACTCATACGATGAGTACGACTTTACTCATAATTCGTCCATGAGTACTCATATTGGTACTACTAACAATTTCTGAGTATTGTTACTCAGTGAGTACTCAGGAAATATTCATTCACCGTTTTATTTTGCTGAAACTGAAACTGTATAAAGAATCTAGAATTTAGTGAAGAAATACAATATTTAAATTATTATTTTCTCACCGGTCTCTCTGTATATAGTCGGAGATAGACTTGTCTATGACTAAACTTGTAGTCCTACCCTGGCTACCTGAGATCACTCCTCTATATGAAAATATCAGATGAACAATACTCATGAGTATTTTGTCGAAAGTTGTATGAGTACTCAAAATCGTACCCACAGTACTCGTTACTCACTGTGAGTACTGAGTGAGTAAAAAAATGTATGAGTACGTATGAGTAGTCGTCCGGTTTTTCAACGATCATTTTATATAAAAGTATCACATCACAATTTTTAAAATCGTAAACAAAATTCAGTATGTTTTCTGGAGGATTCAACTTCAAACAGGAACTGAGCAACTAGCACATGATGAGACATCTATCCCAATACGTGTAATATCTTGCTAACAAGATGGGACAAAGATCTTGTCAATAACAGTATGATTTTTAGAGGTAGGCGAAGAAAAAAGAGGAACTAGGTCAAAAGTGTCAGTTCTTTTCTATTAAGAATTCATTTTTCAACCATAGTTCAAAGATCGAAAAATAAAATTGCATAAAAGGAAAATCTAGAAAGCTAGTTACATAAAAAATTAAAAAGTTCTGATCTGAAAGCTTTCCTCGTTAAAACTGCTCACTTTAAACAGTGGTAGTTTGGAAACTATTAGCATTTCAAGGTGTTCAGTGGCGATATTGACTGAAATTAGCGAAAAAATTTCAAACAAATTCCGATTTTTTACAAAAATTAGATCATAACGGTACATATGGCTTGCAGACGTGGCGTGCGTTTATAGCTGAGCGCCCATTCTCATTTATGCCTCAGCTGAAAAATTCTGTTCTTAAAAGAGAACACAAAATCTGAGATGGCTTTCTTGTTGTTTATGCTATAAATTTTGCCATAATGGGCATATGATTAAATTATGATGTTCTTTCCTTTGAAATTAGAATTGAGAATTTTTAGTGACATAGATGAATACAGAGCGAGTGACGTTGCGCAACAATATCACCTCTAAACTATCAGAGGGAGAAACTAGAGTACATTTACCAGTGACACGTTTGTGTAGACAATTTGTTCAGAGTCCAACAATAACTTGGTGAGATACTATAAATGAAAGAATGAAGGAGACAAACTAAGTCATAGGAAAATTATCAGAAATCTAAGGATGTGCTTAACAAGTGACCAAAATTTCTTTTCAATAAGTACCACCGCACAGCAGACATTCAAGTGGACATTGGGCGAAAAAATAAAAGCAGTTATTTTTAATTTTCTTCTATATGGTAATAAAGTACAAATTCTGGGCTATTCTTTCATATAAATAATAATATATTGTTTTGGAACAGTGAAAAGTCGATTCAAGAAAACAGGCTACAAAAACGTTCAGCACTAGAAAATCCGCAATCTTTTCGTTGTTTAATACAGTCTAAAATTAAAAATGAGTTTAGGCTTAAAGGTCTGATGTTTTTGCTGCATTTTTGAGCGAAAAAAATTCCGAATTTGTTAAAACCGTTCAAGAAAATAATTATTTTCTATACCAAAAAGTTTTCCAAAAAATATTCGATCAATATAATGAGTTTTCTAATTTTTCCTAGCATTCAATTAAGCTCAAACTTTTCATAATTGTTCTTCTGTATATCACATATTTGTAAAACTAGCATCAGTTAACGCTGAAAATTAGCTCACCCATAGCTCATCCCATTGTTTTTGTATTTTAAACCAAAATGACTATCATATTCAGAATCATCGGTAAGAACTGTAGTTTTTAGACATTTTTTGAAATAGTTTTCTCCATTCAAAAAATTTTATCCGATGTGTCCTCATGCATTTTTGTTCAAAAACGAAAAGTTTCAAAAAATAAGAATTTTTCTTGTGAGAATACTATTATCAGGTATAGAGAGTCATTCTAAGTCAATCACAATTATTTTCAATTATAAAAAACTTAATGTCCACTTGTTTAGTGAAAAATGCCACTTTCTACCGTGAATTCATCGTCACTAATTGGAGAAAATCACAAACTACTTAGACAATTCTCCAAGCAATATATGTGTACAAATAGGTTCTGCCTGGGTGTATTTCTATTGTTCAGTTAGAAATAAGAACCTAATTACTTTTCTCGTAATAGAAAAATAACATTTTAGTATGTGTATTTTCGTTATACAATGTGAGATTAATTTCAGCACATAAAGAAAACTGAAGATATTTCACATTTTAGTTTTAAAGTTGTTGTTCTGACTAGTTCTTATATGTCGATTTTAGCTGTTATTTCTTTTTATGCAAGAAGTTTTGCTTTCGTAACTTGCCTCTAATACTATATGTCGAATAAATGATATATCTAAAATGTTAAATTTTTAATAGTTTTCTATCTATTTGTTTTTCACAGTTCGAAGATAAATAAAAATTGAATAAAAATATTCAAATAATTTTTAGTCACTAATTGCTTTTTGTTCATTTGACTTTTAGTTGTTAGATAAAAGATTTTAATGGAGATTCGTCTAAAATCTCAGTTATCAAGTTTACACAACCAGTGGTCACATTCTTTTTTCGTTTATTTTATTTTGTAATCATTTCAGAGCAAAAAAGAAAAAGATAAGAACAAAAAAAGAAAAAAGTTGAGATAAATAACAACATTCTTTTATTTGTTCGTGTGTGTTCTTCCGTTGAATTAAGAAAATTGTGCTATGAGGACACACACGCTCAAAAGTGGAACAAATGGTTTTTATCTATTTGCCTAAATGAATAGATGATTTTGTTTTTAGATATAGACACATGTTTAAAATAAAAAGAGAGAATTCACATATGAACAGAAGAAGAAAGAAAGAAAGAAAGATATCGATTTAAATAGTTAGAGTCAGCATAACAAATTGGCTTCATCAATTAAGATTTTGTCTTACTGTGCAAAATCGTCCCTTCGAAATAACAGTCACTAGGCTCTGAATGGCACGGCATCAACAATAAAAAAAATGAGCTTCTTACGTGTATACAACAGAAAAAAAGAAAACAGGTTAGATCATTATTCATCACGTAACGGTCGTATTTGTTCACTTTTTCAACGTTAATACATACACATAGCAATGAATAAAAGGAATATTCGAAGGGGAAGGCTTCCTGATCGCACACTAATCAAAAATGATAAAGAGCGAAGATATTCTATTTTTTTGAGAGCAAAAGAGAAAACAAACGAAGAAAATTTTGTTTTTTTGTTTTGTCGTGAGTGGAGATTTCGTCCATTCGAGAGAAAGATAGAAATCGAAAACATCAAATAAATTTTTCACTTGACTAATTAAAATATGACTGTATGAATTATTTTGTTTGGTTTTTCTGCCATCAAAAATACAACTAAGGCATAATTATGACCGGCTGTTACAATGTTTCAAGTATCAACTGAACTTGCGGATATAATTTCCATTGTTCCAGTGTATCTGATTTATTCAACGCTGTTAACTAAACAAAAAGTGAACATGGAAAATAATATTCATTCAGAGGAAAGTAAAACAACATACATCTCGTCGAGGATGAATGGATAATAATTTATATTCACCAAACATATGACCCTTACTCGTCAGATAGTCAAATAATGTCTAAAAAGAAGAGAATTTTATAGCTGGTTAAGAAGCAAATTTTCATAAGCTTTAGATTTTGAGATATGGATAATAAATAGTGTGGACATCTAATACATGCTAGCTATTTTATCAAATGATGAATTGCGAAACTAACTGCTTACTTGTAATGTGTCTTTGATTCGAAATCGTCTTACGAGTGTGTCTTTATCGTCTGGTAAACGTATCTTTAGTTTTGTTATATCTTTATCACTTTCATTTGGTTCAGCTGGTAATTTTGCTTGACATTGTTTTTGTATGGCCTGGAGGAAAAATAAGATAATTGACTGTATCATTTTTTGATAGAAAATATATTTGTATGACGCTGACTCGCATGCGTATACATTCTCGAAAAATTCTTGACGTAACTCTAGTTTTTAACAAACCCATGAATTTTAAAAATTCTGCTTTTTTCAAATCTATCTCAAATATATTTTCCAGTAGTAGAGTAGTAAGATTTCAGTGAGGCGTAGCAAAGATTTCACTACAAAATGTGACGTTTATTAGCGTCACGTTTATTTCCATTCATTGCATTACGACTTTTACACGTGAGATGTCAGGTGTAAAAGCAACAAGGTAGCAGCAACATTATAACAAAAGAATTGGCACCGGTTAGGCGCCTTTGCATTTGGTAGCGTAAAGATCATGGAGAGCGCGACTGTGAAACGCCTCGTTCTGAAGGAACACCTTTATCCTATCACATTGAACGACGAGAAGAATGTTTCAGATGGATTTGAAAAAGGCAAAATTTTTAAAATTTATGGATTTGTTTAAAAGATTAGTCTAAAAATACGAATTAGCGTTAAAGCTACTATAGTTCACGAAAAAAAGTAAGAAAAAAAATGAGCTAAACTTTAAGTTTCACTTTAATCATTTACCAGTCGTTGGTTTTTTTCATGTTCTTCAGCATATTCTTGTTCTTTAACTTTTTTTTCATCTTCAATCCGTTGCTTTTGTTTGGCAAAATCTGCAGCTAATGATGCTTTATATTCTTCTTCTTGTTGACGTTTTAAGTTTTCTCGTGTTTCACGTGATGTCTAAAATCGTCTATGGTTAAAAAGATTATACACTTAATTTCATAGTTCTTTACCTCTTCCTTTAGATCTCGTCTTCGATGTTCTTCAAATATTTCATGCGATTGTATAAGATTATTCAATACTTCATCGGGTGTTGTGTTTCCTTCGATAATATTAATTACTTCTAGATTTCCACGTTGTCTTGCAACAATTACAATTAACGGGAAACTTTCAATATCCATCGTATGAAATCGCGTAGCATAAGCTGTACTAACATGTTTTTTCAATGATTCTATAAACCTGAAAATAATCCAGAGAACAGTCAGTCTCAATAGATTAGGATAATCAAAAAAGATTAGCTTATTTTTAAAAACCGATCATCAGCAAAGACTAGCTAAGAAATGTATTTAAATACTTACCTAATACGATTTGAATCAAATGTTAAATCCCATGCCCATAGAACATAATTATTTTCCAAATATTCGACAATTGTATCTGAACAAAGTACCTGAGAGCAAAATACATTTGCACATATACTTCTATCATGATGTAAATAAATGGCTAATGGACGACGTTGTCCAATAGGTGAATAAAGTGAACCTTGTATAGCACTTTCTAATGACCCCATGTACAATATTGGACCAGATGTCATATAACGTTTTTGAAATACACGAATAAAATTTTCGAGACCACTCAATTCGTTCGTACAACGATCAGGTATCAATGGTTCACGTGTCGATGTGAACATAACGTCATCAAATGATGTATTATCAGAATCTTCAATTTCCATTACTGAATGTTCATCATCACTGTTATTGGACGCATGTGAATTCTAAAACGGATGTGAGTTAGAGAAAAAAATTAGAAATGCAGCATCAGGTATACAATAAAAATCTTTCAACTGGGTGCGACAGGATTTATACACTCATTTGCTGAACAAGTTTATTGTAAGAATGATGTTAATTACCTTCGAATCAATTTTCACTGGCGAAATAGCTGTACGTTGGACTAATAATGTCGCTTTTGGTTTAATACCACTCGAATATAATGGGTCCTAAACAGATACCTTGTACTATTTTTCGTATTTACACTGAAAATATCTAGATTTGCACAAAAGACGGCCGGAGTTTCTCTTATTTTTCTTATTTTAAACTTTGAGCTTTCTACTCAATAACACATGTCATATGGTGTTTTTATACTCCTTTTGCAACAATATCTTAAAAAGGCGGCTTTAGACAGTTCTAGTTGAGCTGTTAAGTAAAGTTTGGGTTTTTTTCCGATATGGTAGAAAAGTAATTCAACAGCGAGTTTAAACAGTAAAGTTGACAGAAAAATGAAACGTTCCCGGTAGCTTAATACTAGTAGCTATTACACTAGCACTTCTACGTGAAGAACGAAGAACATCTTGAGCATTTATTATTTATCGGTTTCAATATACCGGGGTAAACGGTACAGGGAAGCCCATGGTTCTCTTTTTCGGGACAAAACGGGCTCAAGACAAAATAATTTTTTCGTGCGTTTGGGCTCACGGGCTCGAGCTAAAGAAAAATTCTATGGGCTTGGGCTTACGCGCTCGGGACAACAAAAAATGTTGCCCCGCAGGAGTCTGTCGTTATTTTCAAATTATGCATCTCTCTACTTTTACCGTATCTTTGCTGCCATTTAAGCCTCTCCATTCTTGATCTTTTACTGGTAATTCAGTAAGTTGTTCAATTCTCTTTTTTATCTACAAAAAAGGAAAACGCAGGAAATTTGTAATTAGCCAAGAGTACCCAATTCGTATACCTCTGCGATTGTCGTATTTTCTGGTAGGCGTAAATCATAAGGAATCGATCGTCCAGATTTATCATTACATAAAACTGTTATTGGAAAATCAGAATTAGAAAATGATGGTGTTGTATGATTGTCGTGTCGCCTAAAATTAAGAAATCATCGAATAAATGAAATAGTATAAAAAACAGATATTGTTTGTGCTTACCTATTTGTTTGTGATATCGTTGATGTTGTACTAGCTACTAAATGTATGTCATTATCTGTTGGTAAATTAAACTCTTTTAGACGCATCTAAATAGAAAAATCAACGGAATTAAAAAAATTATAAAAAATAAGGCTGAAAAAACATATACATTATCATCATGGCGATGCTTCCAGTTTAGAAAATTTTGTTTGTTTGCTGGTATATTTAATTTTCTTGCAATCTTTTCTTTTAATTGAACTTGAAAAGAAAAATTATAATATAAATATATATGCCATTAATTCAACTTGTCTTCGTTTCTTATAACTTACACACAGTGTCTTGATCGGATATTGTTATATTTTCTGTTCTATCACCATACTCAACACTAAAGCGTAAGTCCCTGGTTCGACCACCAGAATCTAACGAAATTCCTTACATTGAAATAAGAATAAACGATTCAAAGATTATTATACGCACTACGTGTTTTCAACGATGTAACAGAAAACGATGCAGTTTTATTTGCTTTCGATGATGTTTCTTCTGTTGTTGAACGACGAGTTGTCGTCGAATTACTTGGATATGTTTTAATTACCTTCAGTTCTTCTTCATCGTCGTCACTGGAAGGAATTTTAAGAATTGTATTCTTAGAAAGGGAAGTTGTAGGCATGGTGGTGGTGGTTGCTGCAATTGCAGCCGCTGTTCGAGGAGATAAATTGTCAGTACCAGATGAACCAATTGTTTGATTAACAGCAAGTACAGCATTCTATTAAAGAAGATAAGAAGGGCAAAGACATGAAGACTCTCTTGAGTGTACTAGAGTTAAATATGTATCGAGTAGAGATCGTTGACAATAAATGCAAATAACAAATTCTATAGTCATATTCTATTTTATATGTGACTGATGAATGGGCGTCTCTCTCTCGTGTTAGTGATTCCAGCGGTTCACTGGAAGGGGAAAAAGCACTTTCTTGGCACTTACAACACTTTTTTCAGGACTAGTGCTGCCTTTTCCCCTTGAAGCCACTCCATTAAAAACATATCATAGTTCTTTTTGCCCAATTTGGACCACAGAAATGGCATTTTAAAAAATGCGCAACCTTTTCTAAATTAAGAAGTAAAGTACTATAAGAAAAGGCCACTCTTTTGATGCTCTTTAGCGAAGAAAAAACAAACAACAGCAAAAAAAACAAGCCCGTTCTACTTGTAAAAATCATGTATTATATGTAAATACCATTAAATTCCAGTCATATTGATTTAAACAATGAATACATTCTTCCATATTTTCCAGTCCAGTGCATGCCTAAATATCCACAGTTGGTATTAACAAATAAAGTTTAATAAAAAAGAGTAAAAGATAAACAAACACACCTGAAAATCCGCTAAAATTTGTTCACGTGATTCTGACATTGAACAAACAGATGATTTTATCTGAAAAACAATAATATATAATATAAATAGTAAACACTTCTTCGAATAAACTAAAAACAGAGCATGATCTATAGAAACATTCAAAATGACGATACCGCTAAAAAGCAGTTCTTCAAATTTGAATTAAGTAAGACAGAAGCTCCTTACTCTTGAAGCCAACAGATTACAATCGTCATTATCTGACATATAAACGGAATGAGTATTTGAGAAGAGCGATAACAAAACTCGAGAATATTTAAAATTAGATTTTTCATGTAAAACACGATTTACACAACCTTTCGACTAAATTCCAATGTAAAAAGTTTTTTTCGCTATTTATGCGTAAAAGCATTCGAAAAGCGGAGTAAAAGGTTTTATGTGAGATGGTGAAAAAAACATTTTCTGTTCGCAATTGATCACAAAAGTTCGTGATAATCCATTTTTACATGAAGAATCTGATTTTAATGTCTTGCAGCTAGATGGGTCAACCTCATTTCAATCATATGAATCATCAATCATTTCCATATTCTATCAAACAGTAAAGTTAGAACAAACATAGTCGTATCGATGTTTGCTTTCCACATCGTGACTTTCGATATACACAAACATAAATCTCTCTACTTGCTTATAGCACAAAAGTTTGAATTAAATCATATAGAATTGTTCAGTAGATAAACTTCAAATGTGCTTTAGCTTTCATAAACGCGTACACTACTTCTGAAGTAAAATACAGATGAAAAAACTTAACCATGACTTATTAATAATAAAAAACGATAAAACATAAAGAGTTTAGAACATTTATGAAACATTACGTTAGTTATAAATAACATATTGGCAAGTAAAGAAATTACTCATGAGAAAAAGAAAATATGTTTTGGTGAACTTGATTTGATTATTTCAAAAGAGCAAACTAATTTATAGTTTTACTTTTTACAGAATGAAAAAAAGAAACACAACGAATTTTTCAATACTCATTGTACAAGTTAATATATATATATATCACAAATAGAAGTTAAACTAAAAAGAAATAAAAAAGAAATAAAAAGAATGAACAGGAATGCTGTTTTATTCACTACTACAGCAGCATCGGCGAAATTTTTTCAAAGAGAATATGAAAAAGTTATGCGACAGGTGTTTTATCATCGTCCTCATTATCATCATCATCATCGTCATGTTTATCGGATTTTTGTTGTTCATTATATACTTTTTGCTGGTGCTGTCTCTGTGGTATATCTTCGTTATCTAACGCTTGTTCGTCAAAGTCTTCCGCTTCGTCATCATTTAAATTTCTGTTCATCAAGAAATTGCTTGGTGAAAATGTATTACCATACTGTCTATTCGATGACAGAGAACTTTGGGACATAATACTAAAATGATGTTTAGATACTTGAAAACCCATTTTGTGATTCATATTTTGCGGAAAAGCTTGATGTGAAGGATGTCTACTCGTCTGCATATCTATGCCAAATTGACAAAATGGAATTGAAATCTCATCTTTTGGAAGCTAAAAAAAATAATTAATTACGCATTTAAAACAAGACATAAACAAACCATGCTAGAATACATACCAGTTTATAATTTTCCATGTCTTGTTCTCCTTTTTCAAATAAATCTTTGGCTCTTATTAATCCTTGAACAATGTCATCAAGAGAAACTTTTTTCCCATCAACAACTTTGTATATGACATATTCACCATATTTATCGTGATAGAATACAGCTAACAACGGGAAACAATCAACACTATTCATAAACAAACGAAATCGATCAGCTGTGCTCGCATCAAATGCTTGACGACACAAGTCGATAAACCTAATAAGAAAAAGCGAGAAAAAGAAAGAACAAAACATTTATTTTAAACAAAGATTTTTCGAAAACAAACATTGTATTATTTGACTAACTTACATTTTCTTATTTGATTCAAATGTACTATCCCATGCCCAAAACACATAATTATTTAATAAAAATTCAATAACAATATCACAACAAAGCAGCTGTGAACAAAATAAATTAGCATAAACGCTATGATCATTATGAATATACAGGCAGAGTGGACGACGCTAAATAATCAAATAAAAATATTCATACAATGTGTGTCTACTAACTTTTTTAAACATACATCTTTGAAAACTGGTACTTTGAAAGCTTCCTGAACAGCTTCTTGTAACGAGCCGATATAAATGACCGGGCAAGAATTATAACGACGCTGAAATACTTTGTTGAAATTTTCTAATGCAGCTACTTGATCGGTACATCGATCAGGAACTAAAAAAAGAAAGTCGATTATTTTATTTTTACTTCTCTTATAATAGAGAAGAGTTCACTTAGATGAGAAAAAACAGACTTATATTACAAAGAATAATTATGTATTGAATTGAGATATTATATTTTCTAAGAACGAAAACAGAAGAACTATTAAATAAATATGTCTATCTTCCGAGGTTGTACTACGATTCTTGTTGAAAATAATACAATAAAGGTATTTAGTAAAAAAATCATACGCAAATCCATGCTGTGGAGCTAGTGTGCAGAGAATTTGGCTAAAACAAACACCGACAGCAGCGACTCAGCAACAGAATTTTGTACAGAAAATGATTATTATAGTCTAACGAGAGAAGGTCCCCAAGTGTTACTCCCACTTTTCAATCGGATATATCCTAATTTGTAAAACTCGACGAGTTGATTACGATGGCATAAAGCATTTTTCCCCATAGCACTTGAACACCCGGCTTTCTGGAAAACCACTTTTTCAGAAACTCTAAAAAATAACCAAAACATTTCTTAACGAGGCATAATTGTATCGCGTACATTTCTGATTAAAATGAGATATTTTCGAGCTATACACGACCTTTCTTTGCAAAGTTATACAATTTACAAGAAAAGCCCTAAATTAATTTCTTCTTATTTCTGCAGTCTTGAGCTGACAATGAACATGTAGGGCTCTTCTTATAAATTCTCTAACTTTGCAAAGAAAGGCCATGTAGAGCCGAGAGATGCCTCATTTTAATCAGAAATGTGCGCGATACAATTATGCCTCGTTAAGAAATGTTTTGGTTATTTTTTAGAGTTTCTGAAAAACTGATTTTTCAGAAAACCGGATCTTCAAGAACCATGGTGGAAAATGCTTTATGCCATCATAATCAGCTCATCGAGCTCTACAAATACAAGGCTATGTCCCATTGAAAAGTGAAAGTAATACTTAGGAACCTTCCCTCGCAAGTAGTTTTCACTTCTTCGTTATCTCCAAAAAGGAAAAACTTAATCACATATGATTACTATAAAAACCTACAGTATACAGTCTAAATTTTAAAAGTGCCTACAAAACAATATCTATCGTCGATAAATACATAAACTGTAATAAAAATAACACAACATACTTAAATGATCTTGTTTTTCTGTTGATAATGTCATCATTTCATCATAAAAATCATCATCGGTCGACACATTTGAACATACATCACTTTTATTACCGTCATCATTTTCATCGTCACTGGGAAAGTCTTTAGATGTTGGTCTCTGAAACACATAAAAACTGAAACAAGACCAGACTGATTTATTTTTACAACGTACAATTTGTTTTTGCCAACTATCATCGGTTGTATCAGACTGAAATATAATGAAATTATCAATTAACAATTGTTGCTTTTTTGAGATTAAATAATATATATACCTGAAATGGTTGATGATCACCGATTTCAGCCATCGTTATCTTTTTTCGTTCTTTATCTACAATAAAAAACGAAATTTCAATATCGCTCTCTTTGAGAAACTCTAAATTTCTAAAAGTTTAATTTCAGTCGAGTTTTAACCATAGAAGTCTTTACATAACGTGTACTTATAAATATTGTGTTAACAGAGAGGGTATACACAACGATTCTGCATCCATAAGAATTTCTTTTTTTTCTTTTTTCGTTCTTTCTGAATTTCTCTTACAGTATGCGAAAAAATGACATTTTTTGGGGGTCATCAACAATGTGAACAGTTGAAACGTCAAAAAGAACTTCTCCAGATAAGAGGACACATTTGGAGAAAATCGCTGAGAAAATTAACTTTAATGGAATTATAGGCTTTTCTGCATACCTGCCCAAAAGCCTAGAGTGAGATAGCCTTCATACGTAACTACACTTGTAAATCACTAGATGTAAATCAACTACTTTCCCGCCCATTAGTAATTATAACTACTCTCTATTTCAAACTGTTTTTGTTCTAGAAACCGGAAAGAAAGGAAAAGCATCTTTTTTGCACTTTCCGACGTGTTTGTAAGAGAGAAAAATATTAGTCGCAGTGAAGATGCGTTTTCAAATCTGCAGAGTCAGGAAGAGCGATGATTTACTTTAGGTGAATCAGTTAATTCACTCATTCATTCACTTTATAGATGAACTAATCGAAAATAAAGATTATCAAAAGTGCTTGTATTCAATGAGGAAAGGAAAATGGAGGACGGAAAAAATTTCAAGAGAGAAGGTCTGAAGGTCCGTAAGGTTGCGTTAATTAGTCGAATGGTTAAAAGGCTAGTAATTAAAATTTTTTTCCACTGACATAACGCTTATAACAATATATTTTCCGATAAATATATGACGGGCGAAGTTATAAAGCAGTAATTAAAAGAGCAAAATATATCGTAACTCACAAGCAAGAAAAGAAAGAAGCTAGTCCTACTATCCATACCAAAATACAAGAGACAGTGCCACTTTTTGAATAACTTTTGGTAGAAGATAGATAGAGACCTGCGGTTTTCACCATTAGAAAGAGGAGACTTGGATACATGTTTCCATAACCAAT